TGGCTTTGTTCTCATTGTCACCGACCTCCCCCCACCCGCAGAGGGTAGCCAGCCAGGGGACAGAGCCGCAGCCTCATCTACTCCACCCGCCTCTGCATGAGATGGGGGAGCATGCTGGCTGGGGAGGGGGTGAGGCACCCCCAGTGGCGTCAGTGAGCAGTTTAGAAAGGGCCCGTGCGTAGACACATGACTGTTCCTCCCACCCACCCAGCACCCAATATGCCTGGCCTAACTGGCGGCAGTTCTGTCCGCGGCTGCCCCGAATCCCAAACTAGTAAGGAGGCTCTCTCCTGTCCTCAGCCCCACTGGGGGGCTCAAGTTCCCAGGTAGGACCCCAGAAACCCCCCGGTCAGACATGACTTTAAGATCAGCCCCTCCTAGGATGACTGACTGGTTTGATTTAAGCCGGAGCCTGGGTGTTGGTCAGGGTGCCCAGAGAAGTGCCAGGGAGGCAATCCGGGTACCAGCGGTTGTGCTCGGCTTGGCCACCACTGGCAGCCCTACCTTAAGCATCCAACGATCATCTGATGTCCACCTCACTCTCCACACCATCTCCCCAGTGGGCAGGGTACCTGGCAGAGGCTGGAGCTCTAAAGGAATAAGCCAGGACTCACCCCGGCACACCAAGGGCCAACTAACTGATCAAAGGTGGGGAGGGCTGATGTATAGGAGGAGGGGATCGGCCGGTAGAGGGAGGTTCCAGGGGTTCCCATACCCAAGCTCCGTGGCACTGGCTGCCCAGGCTGAGCAGTAAAGCCATGTGGTCGGGCACGGAGCAGCCAGGGCTGCAACACCCCCACCCACCCACCCCTGCACAGTGGCCACCTAGAGTCAGCATGGCCAGGGGTGCTGAGGACCCCTCCTCAGACTTCTCCAGAATCCTCAGGCTACTTGGTGGTCCCTCATCTGGACTGCTGGCTGGTGGAGTCCGAGACCATGCTGACTGTGGGCTGAGTTTGGGGGACGGAGGGGCCCCTGTAAGCAGGGCCAAGGCCAGATGAGGGCCTTGCAGGGAGGAGCATGGGTGTTTGCAGCCTCTTCTTGTGATGAATGTGCAGGAGCCGGCAGGGAGGTGGGCCCACAGAGAGGAACTGGTTTGGGCCGCTTAACTGTCTGTTTTCCTCACCTGAAAACCAGGTGACTCGCCCGAGGCCTGGATGCCTTCCTGGGGAACTTGAAGCTTGTGTGTCCTCTGACCAAGCAGCGAAATATGTAGCCTGGGGGACCTGGAGGCAGGTGACCAGGTTCCCTTCCAGCCCCTGTTCCCCACCCCATCCCACCCCAAAATCCCTGCGAACTCAGTCTCTGCCGAATGGGTACCTTGACAGTCAGAACAGAGCAGTCAAAACCAGGCCTCCCTGGGAGGAACTTGCCTCCCACCCGGCGCTGGTGCCCTCCTGAGCCTGTGGCTCCCAGGATGGGCGACCTGCCCCCAATGCACCCCCATAAAGCTGCAGGTCACACCCAGCCCCAGGGCCATACACCCGCACCCCCCCTCCCCAAGCAGTCAGATCTTTCTGGAACTCAAGCAGGTTCTTTTTTTAAACATTTTATTAGGGGCTCATACAACTGTTATCCCAATCCATACACACATCAATTGTGTAAAGCGCATTTGTACATCGTTTCTCAAAACA